TTATTTAATGTTGTAATTCTAAAGTTACCATTTAACCTCTATTAATTTGGTCAAAATTGATCAAAGTTCACTTTTTTGGTCAACTAACAGTCAAATAATTGGTTTTTCATCTATTTAGACCACAACTGCATATTTTTGAAATGTTAGAAACTTTCGTTGGCACAAATTAAAAGTTAGGATAAAGTCTGCAAAAATTAAAAGTTCCTGAAGTTAACCAGTCAAATGTATCTGAAAAGTTAGTGATCTCATTGAAAAGTTTCACAACCATAAGTAGAAGAATGGTGAATTTAATGTTTATAACAAAAAATGAAAATTTGTTGATTAAAAGCTTGTTTGGTAGGGATTTTTGGGGGAAGAATTGATTTTTGAATAGTGATATGATGGGAAATGTGTGGCTGAAAAAAAAGAAAAAATTATTGATGTGATGGAAAATATTATTTTATTGAAGAATGTGTGGTTGNAATTGATTTTGAATAGTGATATGATGGGAAATGTGTGGTTGAAAAAGAAGAAAAAATTATTGATGTGATGGAAAATATTATTTTATTGAAGAATGTGTGGTTGAAAATGAGAATTGATTTACTGTAGAAAATGAGAATTCCTACCAAACAGGCCCTAAATACACTGTAATAGTGAATGCTTCAACTCATAGCTTTGGTGCTCCATTATTTATCATTAAAATCAAACATGTTTCAACTATATGTTCGTATTTTCTTTCAAATGCCCTATACATATTTAGTTTAGGATCCCTAGACGGGACTCTTGTCCTGAGACCACAAAAATAATTATCTCATAACTTTTCTTACATTTTAATAATATTTTTATTCAAAAAAAAAAAATCATCTTTCAAAAATCTTCTCCCACACAAGGGATATCTATATATTCAGTACCTTTATTTTTTTGCTCCTCATGACATTTATAAATTTTATTTTAATATTAAACATATTATTGAAGTTTGAGTAAATTATAAAAATCTCTCTAAACTTATGACAATAACATAAACATTTATCTTTTTTAATAGTAACATAGACAACATATGATAGGACAATAACAGTGAAATTTAACGATCCAATTCGAAACTACGTTAAAATTTAGTGACTGGCAAATTGAAATAAATTAAAATATAGTAAAAGAGATATTCCTTGCCTAGGAATTGTAGAGCTGGTGAACATATCACCTGTGCTTCATTAAACTGTGTTTTTGGGAAAAAAAAAATATTTTGTAATAGTGATTTATTGAAGAATGCGTGAGTAAAAAAAAGAAAAATTTTAGATTTATGTGTAATATTATTTTATTAAAAATTATATAATTAAAAAGAAGAGAGAAAATTTCATTTTGGATAAAATAAAGCCCAAAGTCTGCATCCTAAATCCACCTGATTCTTTTTTTTTTAATTTTACATTGTACATATAAATAAGAATTTCCGCGGCGCCTCCTAAAAATTCTGAATAGGAGCGAAGGCGGCCTGCAGCCAGCTGCAACCCCTACCGAATAAGGAAGAAAATGCTTCTTGTAGCTCGCGTGCATCTACACATATTATG